TGAACTTTTGACGTGTAGCGCCCAACTAACCACATCGTTTTCCGAATACAAAAAGTCAAAAGACTTTTTACTAACTATATCGGTTAATATTATTTTAATGTCGTCGTAACTACATACTAGGGCGGTTTCTATGACCACCGTCGTTGTCTTTATCTTGGGACACTATATAAACTTTTTGGTTACCTGACCTAAACTTTTACGTTCTCTCTAAAATTTTCAGTTTTCTCTTAGTTTCCCCCTCATTTCCGAAAAGCTGCATTTCTGATTCTCAGTTTCCCTCTCAACTTCTACGTTCTTCCTCGTCTTCGTCTCCAAAATTTGATTCCGAAGGAAACTTTATTAGCAAGCCAAAGGTTTGAAAACTTTCTCACTCCATTTTTTTCTTCATTTCAAGTTTTTTTTATTTAAAGAACTAGTCTCACTGATGTTTGAAACAAGACTCAGGTTTGAAAATGCCAAATCTTTCAATGTTCGCACTCACAGGTCATGTGAGGACGACAGGTTTTATTAAACCGTCGTCTGGTTTGTGGGAAGAACGTGGAAGAGAGAAAACTGGGTGGGGTTTTTTTATAATTTAAAATACAACGACGGTCTTATTTAATGACCGTCGTGTTAAGTTAATGTCTACGTCGTATACGTTTCTGTTGATTTGCACGACGATTCTGTTTTTTTCTGTCATATGAACTTTCATTTTACGTCTGTATTTTACCTAACCGTCGTTGTTTTTCTTGCAGTTTGTATTTCTCTGTAAGCATGGTTTCGAAATTTCAAAGTAAGGATTCTCAGACATCCAAAGGTCAAGGCAAACACATTGCAGTTTCAAAGGCACAATCTCTTCCAAGCAATCCCCCAAAGAAGATGAGATTTACTTCATCTTCTGAGAAAGACCCAAGCTTTGCGACATTTGATGAAGTGACGAAAACTACTCGCGGTATCAACACAATAAAAGTGTTGTGAAGAGGAAAATCCAGAAGATTTAGCCTGTGGTTGAGTACAATAAAAGTGGCAGACCATATGGCAAGGCTGCTATTGAGATGTAGAGTTACATTGGCGTTTTGGCACGCACCAGAGTCCCTCTTGTGGACAAGAAATGGACTCAATTGCCCAAGGACCTGAAGGAGCAGATTTGGGAAGCTGTTCAAATGGCTTATGTTGTTGGGGAATGGGGCAAGAAGATGGTGTTGTTGTCTGCCGCCAAAAAATGGAAGGATTTTAAGTCTACCTTAACTAGGCAGTTTATCCTTCCATTCGCAAATGAGAAGGAGAGGTTAAAAGAGCCCCCTCAGCTTTATAACTTCATAGAAAAATCTGAATGGGATGCCTTTGTAGCTTCAAGGTTATCCCTAGATTTTGAGGCTGTGCATTCTGAGTAGTCACAAAGAAGGGAAAAATGCGAGTACAACCATAGGTTGTCTCGAAAAGAGGATGTTGGTTTGGAGGATCAATTGGAAGAAACCATGCCCGGTGAAGAAATTGATCGATCTCTGCTTTGATATCATGGTTCATCTAGTAGTACATCTTGTCAGAGAAGTTCGTTTATGTGGCCCAGTATAGTTTAGATGGATGTATCCGTTTGAAAGGTATATGAAAGTGTTAAAAGGGTATGTTCAAAACCGTACTCGTCCGAAAGGTTGCATTGTTGAGCGGTATATAGTTGAAGAAGCTGTAGAGTTTTGCACCGAGCATTTATCTGAAGTTAATACAGTTGGAGTGCCTTCAAGCCAGAAGATGGGAGTTTCGAAGCCATTATCAGGTTGCACAGTAAGCTTAGTTGATCGGGACTTGTTAAACCAGGCACATTTATATGTCTTGGAGAATACGGAGGAAGTCCTACCTTATATCGAGTACATATGACTTTTATTTTTCATATGGAGTCATTTTAAACATTATTATTCCTTATGTTTATCTTATATACAAGGAATCATAATGCTTGATTTTTTTGTCAATGTAAGGAACATATGATCTACATCAAGACCACTTATCCAAAATTTAGAAAGAGAACAAAGTGGCTGCAAGATAAGCACAATAGCACTTTCATTCAATAGCTCCACTTTAAGGTATATATATATATGTTATTGAATGACATGCATATTCAACTCTTAATTTTCTTCCATTTTATATGTTAGATTGAATTAAGGTATATATGATTAATTTGCAGGTTCAAAGTGAACTCAATGGGGAAAACCATAATGGCGTATCATAAAATTTAAGGTGGCTAGCAGCTGGTACAAGCATGGCAGTGCCATCATACAGGAGTTATCTTATTAATGGTGTTAAATTTAACACCAAGCCACAAGATGATGTGCGAACTGTCCAAAATAGTGGAGTTTATTTACTTGCACATACTATGCAAGTTGCTAGTGCCAAGGATAAAAACTCTATTGTCTCCAATATGGGTTTTTATAGTGTTATTCAAGAAATTTGGGACATTGACTACCAAAAGTTTAGAATCCCAGTCTTGAGGTGTGATTGGATAGATAACACTTCGGGCTTTGTAGTCGACGAACTTGGATTTACCCTTGTAGATCTAAGTAAAATTGGACATAGGAATGACCAATTTGTTATGGCTTCTCAAGTCAAACAAGTATTTTATGTTGACGACCAAATACATCGTGGTTGGTCGGTAGTGTTATCAATGCCTAATAGATAATATAATGATGTTATTGGTGATGATGTGCTAAGTGATACTAGAATTGAGTGTGAGCCATTTACTAAAGGGATACCAAATGTTGACACATTTGATGACCTAGTGGGTGAGTTTGGGAATGAAAATATTAGAGATGGGTGTGAAGATATATGGATTGATTGATTGTTGTAATGTATGACCTTAGTTATTCAGTTAATTGTATGACATTAATTAATAATTATGTACAACATTTTAATTCTTATCACATTTTCATTATGCAGGCTTTGAGCAAGAAAAATCAAAAATTAAAAAGCTGGGTTAAAGCTGTAAAGTACTACGGTCATGAATAAAAATTGGAAACACAGACGTCTAAGATAAAAACAACGTCAGGTTTCAAAAGGCAACAGACCGTAAAACAAAAAAACAGACATCTAAAAATAAAAAATAAAGACGGTTTGCTTAAAATAAATCGTCGTCTAAACCTCAAAATAAAGGTCTTTCAGTTCCATTAACTGTCATGACAGATGTTCTACACATTTGCTAGTCTATAACAACTGACGTCTCCGCGCATACATACGTCACGACAGGTCAACCAAGCGACTTTTAAAAGGACAACCACGTCATTATGTAATAAGAACAGACGTGGTAAGTGATTACAACGTCAAGCAGGTAGATCTCTAGACGTAGTGAAGTAATTAACCACGTCCTTTATTTTAAATCAACAGACGTTGAATCTATAATCCACGTCGGTTATGTTTCTATCCACGCCTTAAATACTATTTATAACGTCAGCCCTTGACATAAACCGACGTGGGGGAGAGTTTTGTACGTCGATATTGAGTAATGTTCTATCATGTTAAATATTTTAGACGTCGGTTATTTAGGAAAAGTGACGTCTACTTCTGTTAAAGGACCTTCTTTATTCTATTTAAACGATGATTCTTTAAAAAAACAGACGTGTCAACGAGTTAACACAACGGTTTGTATTATAGTTCGCGACGTGGATAAACACAAAAGCATCGGTGATGCCTGGTGCAGGACGTAGTTATTTTATTTTACGGCGATTATTGTAAGACAAATGACATGCAATACTCTTTAAACGTCTGTTGATTTGTGTGTACGTCGTTGTTTATGGTTCACACGTCGGTTTTTTTTTTTTAACGTAGTAAATATTAACCACGACAGTTTCTAGCTTATTCGAGTCTTTCTCCCTTCATTTAGAGACGTGGATAATTATCTGTACGTCGGTTCTTCTTTGGATCATGACATGTAACAATCTTTAAACATCTGCTTTTTCATAAAACCGTCGTCTAATGTTGTCGGAGATTTCATTTTAGGCTAATTATATAGAAATTACACGTCGGTTAATAATAAATATTGGACGTTGAATTCCTTAATAAAGCGTTGTCATTTGTTGTACAAAAGATGGTGGTCGATTTCACGACGGTTAGAAAACCTTTTACACGACGGTGGTTTCCTGTCGTCTATTTCAATTTTTGTAGTAGTGACAAAGACAAAAAAAAAAGGAAGCACGTATTTATGTATAGGTTGACATGTTGTTGTCTTGTCATTGGAAATGAAAATAATAAGAAACGGGTAACAATAATCTAGCCTTTTTTAAAAAAAAATTTATTAAAAAATTATAAAGAACAATTAGTTATTAATGATAAAAATGTTTACTAATAATAATATAACTAGCCTCCTTGTACGCGCTTCCATACAAAGTTTCGTAAATATTTTTTCGCAATTATATTTATATAGATATTTGTTTCAACAGTTTCAAAAGATATTAGAGCACGTGTGGCCGTGGAACCTCAATTTCCTTCAAGTATGTTTTTGAATAAAACTTAGCAGAACTTATTTACAAAAGAGATGAAAGACTTTCAAAAGAGGAGAGGTAGACTCTCATAGTGGAGAGAGAAGTTGTAGTTGAATTTTGTGTCAACATTTTAATTGGTAATGATTTTACTTATGTACAGTTCATATTTATCTTTAATTTCTTTTTTGGACGAATTTATCATTATTTTTTATAATCAAACAGTAATATTAAATTAACACCCATAAAATAATCAGTGAGATATAGCTAAGTTGGTTTAGCTCTTCCACCACTAATCATGTCATGTGGGCATAGGTTTGAAATCTCTAAATACCCAATGAATATTTCTGTAAACCCCCCTCCTCAATCGTTTGTACTAAAAAAAACACCAACAAATAAAAACTAGTAGTACACAAGCTAGATGTTACAATGCAAAGTAGTCATCAAACAAGAAGACAAGAGGAAAAGGGACGATGGAGCGACATTACAAAGAGTTGAACAGTAATAGACAAGTCAAAAACAGTTGCTAATAATTGCTACTAGGAAGACTTACTTAAGAACTACTTTATTCTTCTTTTGAATGATTCCAAAGGTCCAAGTTAAAAGCGAAATCACTTGGGAAGGGCGCAGATCGACCAGTTGGCAGAGAATTGGTAGGAAAGGGCTGCAGCCGGGGGAATTTGAGTACTTTTGGCTGGTTCTATACTCAGTTCTTCTTCAGAAAAATTGATGCATGTTCTTGCCGATTGTGGCATATCATCATCGACCCAAAAATTTGCGAGCAGTTCTTCATCTAACCCGAGACCAGAACCTGTAGCTCTTTCAGTAGCATCATCCTTGTCATCTAAAAAGGTCTCCCACCAATCACTTCCAATCCTTGTTGATGTTGATGTTGATGTTTGTGATGGCGTACTAAAATTCTTTTCTAGTTGAGTATGGTCCAAAATTGGTTCTTTAAAACTCAAACAATTTGAACTTTTGGTGAAACTTCGCGGTTGAGGCCTTATTACGATGGGCTTTATTGTTTCTTGGAATTTTTCTTTCGTAGTCCTTTTCACGAGAGAATTCGTCCGCAGTCGGGTGTTCCAATAATTTTTCACACCGTTCGATGTCCTTCCTGGAAGTCTTCCAGCAATCAATGACCACCTTCAACACATAATTAACATGAGAAAATGAATGCATTCGTATGATAAAATTTCTGCTTCTAAATTATTTTCTTTTCTTTTTTTGTCAAAAGCTAAGTTATTTTCATAAATGGTCCATCAAGTTCACTAAGTTTTCCTACAGTCCATGATTGAGAGACGTGAATAAGTACTTTATTACTTTCAGTAAAGAAGAAGAACGTCATGCTTGGTTTTCAAGAATCAAGGAATCATTGACAGAGGTTAAAAAAATAACTAGAAAAAAGGTCATAATTTTACTTTATTTGAGCCATAACTTATTTTGTGCATTGATATATCATTATTAATAAAATGTGGTGTGTGAAAAGGGCTTGTACCTCAAGTGACTAAGAACATTTATCTTTGCACCCGAGATCTTAGGTTTAATTTTCATCCCTATAAATTAGAGTACTTTAGAATATTCCTTTTTTGAAGAGAGGAATCATTCAATTTCGAGGTTATCCTTAAGCGTTTGTGTGGCAAAAATAAGCTAAATTGGATATTATAGTCACCGATTATCAACATTTTTAATTTCATTTTATGTAATTAACTGTGTTTTTTACACATTTTAGATCACTCAACAGATTTCGATCTGAATAACTTTGTGCATGGATGACCTTTGAAGGATAACCAAAACCAAACGGCTCCAGTCATTGAACTACATTGCGAGTAGATCTAGGGAGGATGTGCATTTTTCTTGAAATAAGCACATAATAGGAAAAATGATTGAAATTAAATGTTAACTTAATTACACTAACATCCCCTACAATTTTCAAAAAAGCTCCCAAGTTTTTTGAAATTACAAAAACACTTGTTGAGATTTCAATTTATTTTTGTAAAACCCCTTTTGTTAATTTTGCATCCATCAATTGTTGATGTCATTAAACTTCTTCAAAAGACAAAATGAACTTTAAAAATTAGACCTCAGGGTGTATGTACAATCTAATCTTACATTAGCCATTTTTGGACCGAAAATTAAAGGAAGGGGTTTGTGAGAAAACAAATATATGTAACTGCTTGGTGCCTTCAGTGTAATCTCCAAAACCAAGGTTTTGTGTCAAAATGAAAAACTTTAGATGTTTCAGTTAGGGTTGGGCACTAGTTGGGTGTTGGGTCAATTTTGAGTTTGTTGATGCTCTTTTTCGAAGAGGGTCAACTTAGAGAAAATGAGGTTTGCCTTCAGCAGGGAAAGGGTCTGGGCCTTCAATAAAGGCTAGCCTACAGAAGACAAAAAATAGGGGAAGCAGTCGTCAAGCTCCAGGCACCGGTGTGGTGCCGGCCGAAGGCTCTCCTATGCTTAAGTCAGCTAAGAAGGGTAACTTTTGTAGAGTAATAGTAAAAGGTAGAAAAGTAGTTACCCTTTTTACTAGGGTATTGTGCCCTTTTTATAGGGAAGTGAAAGTGGGAGGTTGGTGTAGATTTCCGATGTGGGACTTTGTGCAAGTCGCTGCGGTGGTGACACGTGTCATGGAGATTAGGTTTAGTAGTTTGTGAGGTTTGGCAGTCGGGAGTTTCGGCAGATGCTTGGCACCTCGGAAGAGTGTCTTCCTTCAGCAGGGGAGAAGGCATGTCTGCCTTGATGCTAGTTATTTTAAGGCTGGATATGCTCGATTGATTATGGTGTAAACAGAGCTCTACCAGAGCACTGAGCCGAAGCTATCAGCTTGCCGAAAATAGGAATTGAGCACCGAACCATGAGGTGGGGAAACGACCAAGGTGGTTAACCGACGGGTCGGTTCGCCGGGTAATCCCACTTTCCACATGAAAAAAAAAGTTTGGTCTGAGAAGATGTTGGCATTGAGAAGAAGATGAAGATCGTGGGGTTGAGTAGAAGATGCTGGAGTTGAGAAGAAGGGGTTGGCATTGAGAAGAAGAGGAAATTTTTTTTGGTTGAAGATGAAGAGTTGGCGGCTGAGAGTGAGACATACTGATAGAGATCGAAAGGTGTTATTTTTATTTATTTTAAATTTAGGTTGAATGTAAAATCATTAAATATTTATGTCATTGAGTTAGAGCACACCAAGCACTGTTATTCAGTTGTTTAGTGTTGGAAATACAGGTTACAGGTTAAGTCACTTGGGTCGAGTCGGTTTTCATGGGCTACTTAATATTTCACCCACGGCTTGCTCCGATTAGGGGTGGGTTCGGTCTGGGTTGGTTAGGTTTTGGGTTTAACCTGAACACTGAACCGTAGGCCTCGATTTAGCTATTTTGGAAACTGAAACTAAATCATAATTGATGAAAACTGACCACTTAGATTAACCGGACTTGTTGGGTTGGTTTGGTTCAGTTTGGGTTTTTTTGGCTTTCTTAGAGAGAGAGAGAGAGAGAGAGAGAGAGAGAGAGGAAATAAAAGTGATGATGGAGAGAGGGAGAGATGGAGAGGAGAAGAAGAAAAAAGAAGAGAGAGAAGAAGAAGAAGAAGAAGAAGAAGAAGAAGAAGAAGAAGAAGAAGAAGAAGAAGAAGAGGGAGAGAGAGAAGAAGAAGAAGGAAAAAGAAAATAGGGAGATGGGGAGAGGGAGTGAAGACATACGTAAGAAGGAGAAAAAAAATAGAGAGAGAGGAACTGACAGAGACAATACAAACGGAGAGATGGAGAGAGAAGTAAAAGAAAAGATTGAAACTATGTATTATGTATATATATATATATATATATATTTCTTATACTAATATTATATATAATATTTTTTTAATACCATTGCTTTGGTTTGCTTAAACTGTGGTTTTGAATATTGCAAACCACATACCGAATCATATATTTCGGTTTGGTTTGGGTTCAAATTGATGACCAAAAAAGATTGAAAAGAAATCAAATCAATCCAAATCATCGGTTTGAAAAGAAACCAAACCAATCCAAATCATCGGTTGGTTTAGGCAGTTTGTCCGGGTTATCGGTTTGAATGCCCAACCCTAACTTTGACCTAATCGCGAAGGAATTGGAGGCTGGTGTTAGTGTTGACCATGACAAGGTGATAGTAGTGGAGTAGTAGTGACTATAATGGTAGGGTAGGTTGTGGCAACAATGGTGGCACATGTGCATACATATAAAACAAAGCACGGGATGTATATGTTGGCATTTGTGTGTATTTTCGTTTTTTTTTTTTACATGAGTATGAGTTTGTTTAGCCAACTACAAAAGCATAAATATATATATATATATATATATATATATATGTTATGTGATGAACAGAATAATAAAGCATGTAATATAAAAAAGAAAAAAGAAAAAAAAAAAGAAACCATATTTTGAGCTCAATTAATGAAGGACAAGAAGAGGTACATAATGACGATGCGCATGTGGAGCTTGATGGTTAGGGAAGAGACTTATTTATTGGTACCTGTTTCCTAAAAGCTTGTGAAGCCTAATTAGTAGATCTACTTCATCCTCTGTAAACTCTCCTCTCTTGATATTTGGCTTCAAATAGTTCAACCACCTTAGTCTACAGCTCTTCCTGCACCTGTACAACCCTGCATCCATGCATAATGCAAAAAATTCCCGATGTGGAATAAGTCTTTTAGCACCCCTCGACTCACGAGTGAGATCATTTGAACTAAACACGTAGACAACATAAATAGTGAGTAATATTGGA